TAAATTTCCTCCACTTCCTATGTGGGACAAAGCTTAAATATTTATTTTTCCCACCAACAAACTCCTTTCACATGGCATACTTTGAGCTTCAATTTCTCATTCACCCGAGCATCATTTTTGACAAGTAAGTATATGATTTCGATGTACTCACGGAGGAGAACACAAATCAACTTTCATCATTCAAAATAGCCAAACGAGTCCTTCTCAAAATTCCATCCAAAGTCAGCTATATGCTCAACTTTTCTAACATAAATTACAGTAGATCGATCATATCCGCAAATTTTAGCCAGTATATGTTATGATACAAAAAGAAACTTCTGACACAATCTAATCTCTAAAAAAATTGAAAAAATATTTTGCTTGAACAAGATGTTTGGAAGCGTGCTATATACTTACATAAGATGAACAGATGCAGAGCAGTAAAAGCTGCAACTTTTTGAGCACGCTGACCTTCGAACATGTAGGTCTCCTTCATTTCTTTTTTCATTTTTCGTGCCTCACATTGATCTGATTTCACAGCAGTCTACAAAAGAAATGTCACCATATTTGTTAGAATTTATAAAAAAATAAAAAAGTGGTCGTCCATAAAGCGATGAATAGTGAAAAAGAACCGTTAAAAATATCGAAGAGGAGAAGAAGGAGATGGAAACAAGAAATGAAGAATAAGGCTCGAACACGAACACGTATGTGATACATTGTCCAAAAAATGATATTTGCATCCTCTAGTATACTTTTACGATTTTTGACAAACAGTTTAGAGGATTGACAAGCTTTCAAGAAATGAGTACAAAAGAAAAAAAATGATTCTTTCTAGTTGAACTTGTTAAAAAACTTGAAGAATGTTGAATATGTATTAGAATGTGAAAAATCAATTGTAGAAATGAATGATGAAATATTATGTTGTTTTCTTATGTTAGGAATTGGAAATCTATCAGTTACTTATAGATTTCTAACATTATACCATGAAAAGGCTCCAAACACTTGTGAAAAGTTGAGAACTTTCCACCAAAGGGCACCAGAAATTCAAATGAAAAATCGGCCCAACAGCTAAATTTTTTAACCATATGTATGCATGGTTATATTCTTATGTACACATAGTAGAAGTAAAATTGCTTCAATTTCCTACAACAACTTCTTGTGTACACAAGACCATTTGGCTTGTGCTTACGCATGGTTAAAAAGAATTCACCAACATTGCCTTTCAATTTCATCCAACATAATTTTTCAATTTCATCACTAATTCATTCATATTTCAAACCAAATTTTGAACAACAAATAATTATAATAATTATATAACAAGACCCCGTCGGGGAAAAAATGAAAACACACAGAAATGCTTCAAAGAACAAAGAGTCTTAGCTTTCTTCAAACTAGGGAGAAAGATTTTTCTTCATTCTTTTTTAGATATCACGATCAACATTGTCATATAAGATTTTGCACCTTCCATTCTTTCTTTTCTGTTAAGGAATATAATCCTACATCAAATAAAGATGTAAATATAGACCAACTTATAAAGGATTGGGCTACTCCTCATAACAAGGTTGACATTTTAATAAGGAACCGTAATTCTTAACATGGTATCGGAGCTCATTAAGCTCTAACGAGCAATTCGATCCCGTCAAGACTCCAAAAATGAGCATACAAATTTCAAGATTGGTCTGCTCAAAACGAGCCACCATCTTGAGGGGCAAGTTAAGGGATATAATCCTATATCGTAAAAGATGTAAATATAGATCAACTTATAAAGGATTGGACTACTCCTCTTAACAAGATTGACCTTTTAAGATGGAACCCCAATTTATAACATTTTTCTTCTCCATCTCTAGACCGCATGGCCTCTACTACTTGGTTCTTCAATCAGTAGGATCTTTCTTATCTTTCTCTTCTTCCACATCATGCATCTCTTTTCGAGGTAAAAACCCTACTAAAAATGTTTCTTCACGTTTTAGAACTATCACCCAGCCAATGGGAGCTCCAAATGCAGTTTCAGTTAAATTATTCTTCCTTATTTCCAAAACTTCAATTTCAGCAGGGTGGTTCTCAAGATTTGAATATGTAGAAATAATGGTTTCACATTCCCATTGTTTTGATTCGTCTCTACTTTTCTCCGCAAGTACTACCTCTTGATCAGCATTTTCATACTTTCCAGCATATTTCTTGCACCAGAGCATCGTAACAGCGGTAGATTCCGACGATTCAATATCTCGTGCTTCCTCAAGAACCAAGCTTTCCGTAGAGCTATCCTTAAAGGTATGTATGATCTTTTGTGCAACGGATTCCTGACCTTTATTTTCTTCATCCAGTTAATCTTCATATCCTTCTTTACTGTCAGTGCCATATTCATGAAGTTTTAGCTATTGAGTTTATTAATTTATCATGTGGACCTAAATATATCATTAATTGTGTATAATGCTATCCTAAAGTTGAGTCAAATTAACGTGATCTAATAAAAAATTAAATTGTTGGGATTAGGGCATCTAAATAAAGTACGGGCCGGATTATATGTGTAAAGCTTGGATCCATTAAGGTTGTATTTGATGATGAGCCAAATACATATGGAAACTATAAATAGGGCTATGGTCCCCAATTCATATGAAACGTATCGTTCTTTATGTCATCCCATCAACACAAGAATTAATAGAGTAAGTATGTTGAAGAGGAAGATCAAGAAATCCACAATCAAGAATCAAGAAAAAGAATTGGAACAATTAAATCAAAGAGCAATATAATCAAGATTATGGAACAAGAAGCAAAAATAAAGATCAAGAACCCAAGAACCAAAAGAGCCAATAATCAAGATTCAAAATCTAGAATCAAGATTCACTAATAAGAAATTATTTCCAAAGAATTAAGGTATGTTCCGCACTATTAATTTTCTTGATGATTTGACATGAAAGATCTTAGCAATTAAACAATTAGCTTTTCTAGTTTTATAAAGTTTAAAGTTTCAACATTTAAAATTTCAACAAGTGGTATCAGAGTCAACTTCATATTAAATTATTGAGATTTAAGAAAGAATTTTAGGGTTAAAATTCATGCTTTGAATTCCTAAATTTTGGAATGTGAATTTTAGTCCCAAATTTTAAAATTTTAAGATTTTGGGAATTATGAATTAAGAATGTACAATTGATGAAGTGTACAATAGTCCCTGGACGATACGCCAATTACCGTAAGTGCTGGTACAATGATTTGAGAAAGGGACGAAGGGTATAAAGGTCTTTTTGCCATCATGTGGACATGACAAAAAGGTAGTGCATACTGTGCATCGCCATTGATAGTAGATTGACACATTATGCATTCAAGAAAAATCTTATGCTCAGCATATAAAGCAAAGATTTTGAGTTTTAAAAAAATGGAATTCCATTCAATTTGATCCCCCCCTCTCTCTCACACACATTGAGGGATTAGGTATCCTTTTACATGAAATGACATTGTTTTTGTAGTATCTAATATTCGAAGTGAAAGAAATTGGTAGCAAATGCATTTCTTTATGGTTTTGCTATAGAGCACCGAAGGTACTCTTCTGAAACAGCTTTCTGTTAGAACTCACAAAGAAAAATCAAGAATATAGGAAACTGAAGGGTGATTTTCACTTTACAATTAAATTCTTGATTTGATAGAGCCTAGAAACTGTTATATGGAGTTCTCATTATCACTTGAAATCCGATGAATAGCACTTTTGGAAACTCTCATTTTCTGTCACTACGGCATCTTAGAACTAATTTTTTTAAAATAAAAAATAAAATAAAAATAAACGATAAGGATTAAAGGGGCAATCAATTTCAAATCTTGGTACTTCAAATTTATTTCTGATTACTAATTTTTTAAAATAAATTAGTTGAAACAGCATGTTACCAAACATTTTTTGTCTAAATTAATTTATTTGGAATATTAGGAAACTTGTGTTTACGTAATTCATGTGTAGTATTGACTGGCTCAAAGGATTGTTAATATTTGGCCGAATTATTTACATACATGTGGTGATAAATATGTGACAATTGTAAAGTTTTTAATTATGTGAACATTGAGTTGATCCAAAGATAGACTTGATGTTTGACTGAATTTATTGTCAATATTTGATTTCTACATCAAGAGTGTCACTTACAAGTTGGTATTTCTGTCCAAAGATTAAATATCAATATTGTGCTTGGTCTCTTGTNGGATTTATTGTCAATATTTGATTACTACACTAAGAGTATCATTTACAAGTTGGTATTTCTGCCTAAAGACTAAATATCAATCTTCTGCTTGGTCTTTTGTGATTGGGTTCGCCATTATTTGAAATTATTGATTGCCTAATACGGATTCCTATATAAACATGTTAATTAAATTTAAGTTCTATATTCGGTTAATCCATCAACTTCTACAATATCTACCATAATCAATTCATTCATGTGCTTAAACAAAAGTTTAATGGCTGGAAAAAGAATGTTTGTATCGTTCTTGATGGCATCGATCTAGACCTTGCATTAAGGATTGAACAACCCATTAATCTTACGGATAAAAGTTTTGCTAAAAAAAGGGCACTCAGATAAGTGGAATCGTTCAAGCCGCATAAGTCCTGTGATCATGAAGCGTAGAATTTCAGCAACATTCGGGGGCGCTGTGTCTGACGAGATAATTACTGACAAGAAATTTCTTTAAAAAGTTGAGAAACGCTTTGTAAAAGGCGATAAAGCCGAAACTAGCATCCCTTTTGGTGAACTTAGTTTCACTAAAGTATAAGGATAAAGAAAATATAAGGGAGTACATCATAGAGAAGTCTCATCTTGCTTCAAAACTAAAAACATTAAAACTTCAATTTTCTGATGACTTGCTCGTGCATTTAGTTTTGATTTCAATTCATGCGCAATTCGGTTAATTTAAGGTAAGTTACAACTGTTAAAAGGGAAAGTTGATTCTTAATGTATTTATTCCATATTGTGTGCAAGAATAAGAAAGACAAGTTATAAAGAATAAGAAAGGTACATTCGGTTCGGTTTAAAATAAACAACAAAAAGCCTGAAAAGGATAAATTTGGCTATTACTTATGTGAAAATTTGGGACACGTGAAGAGAGATTGTACTAAATACCACGCTGGCGTGTAAAGAGAAATACATTTCTCACTTTGGTTTGTTTTAAGGTTAATTTAGTTTCAATACTTAGACATACTTGATGGATAAATTTTGGTACCACTACTCACATAAGTGTGTTTATGCGGAAATCAATTAACGTTGAGGCTATAAGGACGTTTATGTTATTATTAAAGACCGATTACGATTTGAATATGAAAACGGTATTTGTGGTATCGTCTTTTAGATGGTATTTGACAACTTTTGTTACTATTGTTCAATTGGAAATAGTCACTTTGATATTTTCTTAATTCAAATATTGTGGGTACCAGTTCTTTATACGGTTACGATAACCTATTTTTGTTTGATACGGTTGTCTCTTCTAAAGAAATCTTGTATGTGAGTTCACGTGGTATTAAATATAAATTAACCAATGAGAATTCTGCTTTATTATGTCACAAGCGATTAGGTCACATGTCTCAAAAAAGAACAGAAAATCTTATGTAAGAAGGAATTCTTGATTTCTTTGATTTTTCATGCTTAACTGTTTATGTTAATTATTAAGGGAAAACAAACAAACATAAAGAGATTAGGTACTAATAGGATTTCAAACGTCTTATAACTAATTCATACAGATATCTATAGGCCATTCACTTTGAATTTTTGGAATGGTTAGTAATTTATTATGTTTATAGACGAATTTTTCTCAGTAGCCACCTATATGTCATCTATAAGAAATCCCAAACACTGGACATGTTTAATGCATACAAGATTGAGGTTGAAAAACAATTCAGTAAAAGAATTAAACAAGTCAGATCTTACAATAGTGGATAATACTATGACAGATATGATGGATCAGAAGAACAACGTTTAGGGTTATTTTGCTAAATTTCTAGAGGAATGTAGAATCACCCCACAGTACATCAGAATCTCTCTAGGTTGAAGCATTAAAGATTGCAGTTTAAATTCTCAATAAAGTTCCAAGTAAAGCAAATGTTAAGGAGTTACAATTTTTTTTTTTTTTTTTAAATTGCACTATTAGGTCAATTTTTGAAATGGGGAATGTCTAATTCCTTAAGGATGTAGAATTTGCGGGGGAGATAATATTTTAAGGTTAAGGATTTTAACTTGGAGGAAAAATATGTATATATTTCTTCTATTACAATTGACAGTGATCAGGACCAGGGACAAATTCTTGCTTTAGATCTTGTTCAAGAAGCAATTTTGGGTCAAGACAATATTACAAAATTTCCTATACATAATCAAGATATTGTTCCAAAAAGATAAACTCAACAATCTTAAAAACAAAATGTCATTAAGGAAATCCACTATAAAAAGGAGAGAGACAATTTGGATGGCTTTATATTCTTTTTCCAAGAAAATAAGGGTGATATGGATTGAAAGAAAAAGAACCGATCAATCAACTTTCATCAAACTATGGAAATGAATAATTTTAAAGAGTGAATTGATGTCATGCATAAAAAGATAAAGTTCATAAGTAACAATGATATTTGGAAACGAATCTCATTGTCTGAAGGTACGAAACTCATTGGCTATAACTGGATATTTAAAATTAAGATGGATTCAAAGGGTGGTGTGGAGAGATATGAAGTTTGTCTTGTTACAAATGACTTTATTCAAAAGAAAGGTATTGATATTAAAGAGATTTTTTCTCCAGTTACTATAAAAGACTTTTTTATGACTATTTTGACATTTGTGACACATTTTGATTTTAAGCTACATCAGATGGTTTACAAATTAAAAAAAAATTAAAAAATCAACGGGCTTAAGTTGGTTTCCCATAATGGTATCACAAATTTCATCAAATAATTATCTTATTTGGTTTGGAGATGAATTCAATTGATGATTGTGTATATCACAAGTTCAGTGGAAGTAAGCATATATTTTGGTATTGTATGTCGATGACATATTGTTTGTCTGCAATGATATAAGCTTATTGCACGAAGTTAATAGATTTCTGTCATGAAATTTTGAAATGAAAAAAAATCTTTGTGATACCTCTTTTATATTAAGGATATAGATACGCAGGGATCGTTCTCGGTATATTTTTGGATTATCACAAAAGAGTTGCATCGATAAGGTTCTTAAGAGACTTGGAA